TGAACTTGCATTTTCTCATTCCTGTCAAGCACAAGTGCTGTATTTTAGTAAAATGCAGAGATTGTTTCTTGCAACATGTCCTGGAATTCCTGAGCTCCCAGTTCTGGGCCAAGGTTGAAAGCAGTGATTGATGGTGTAGGTTGATTGCAACATCCAAAGGGTCATGGAGCAAAAAGATGATGAGTTTGGCTCATCTGCCTCTGTTCCTGTGGGAGGGATACCTGTAGGTGCAGTAATTTTTCCGATCTGTTAGGAGCCATTTGCATGAGACTTCAGAGAGATGAGAGCTAACTGATTTATAGCGTGTGTGAACCAGCAACTTGGGAAGTGTGGGAGACCCTGAATGCATCTTCACTTCCCTAAGGCAGTAATGTGAGCAGACTTCCAGAGCTGGCACTGACTGAGGATTTTCTGTAGCTTTCCACTGCTCCCCTGGCTGTGCCGTGCCCAGAGCACTGCATTCCCTGTCCCCAAGCATGTGGCCGGGCAGCAGTTGTGTGCTAGTTTATCAGGGAATTTGTCTTATTTGTACTTCATAAGCAGTCAGAAGGAGGAATTTGAACGTCATTGGATCCAGCAGCAGTAACCTCTGCTTTCCTTTCCCTCTTCTCTCCCGTGATGTGGCTGTGGCTCTCACGCTCCTCCCAGTGTGACTGCGTTTTGTGCTTGGAGGTCTGCTTGGAAGCTGGCGAGAGCCGGCATCAGGAGGGGGATGGAAGCGATGTGTCTGTCAGGTGCAGGCAGATTGTGCCATCTAATCCCTGGCTGTTGTCTGCAGCATTTGTCAAGGCCTCCGCTGGCCTGCTCCGTTTCACCAGAGGTATCGCTAGCATTCATCTAGGCTGGCAGCATTTCAACAGCTGTTAATCCTCTTTGGATCTTTAAGCACTGTGACCGCTGACAAGCTCCCGTGCTTTCAGGTGTCAAAATATCTGAAGATAGCTCTGGGGACTTTTTTATTTTTTTTAATCCCAACACCTTCTGATCTATTGACCCAATCTGAACTGATGGAGGAATCTGTATCCAAGGCTCACTTCTTGCTGCTGCTTGATGTTTGCCAAAAATTGTGCCTACAGTCAAATCCGTTTCTAGTTCCTCGTGCTCACGATACTTAGTTTTCTGTCTTACTTGTTACCGCATGTTTTACTGAAGTTTAAGGAATGCGGTTTAATGTCAGTGTGAGAATGAGCTGGCAGGGTTTTCTCTTTGTGCTTCAATAACTTTCCCTCCTGCAATAGCCCTGAGAACTCCTTTTGCTATGTCGTCTTCTCGATTCCTTTGCTTTATGTTGCGGAAAGGACCTGGGCAGTGTAATGAGATGTAATGGTGGAGGAACGCTGAGAAAATACAGCTTCAAGTTTTAAATCCAGTTTCCTTTGAAAAGGGAATTTTTAGTCCAAAGGTTTCCAGGGAAGAGCAGGGGGCAAGGAGATAGCAGCTAAGCTGTTGCAGCAAAGCAGCAGGGTAAAGGAAAGTGGTTCTGTTGGTCTTTAGGCTCTAGTTATGTATTTTTATAACTTCTCAGTGTTTTTATTATTTGCTACGAACCATCATTTAATAGCAGGAGAAAATCTTTCAAACTAACATTTCTTTGTTTTGGTTGTTCGTCCTCTCTGGAGAGCTCTCTCCCCATATGACATCTCTCATGTTCTGAGGTTGGCTCCCCTAAGGCTCAGCTTTATTGAGAGAAGTGAAACATTTTAGGTGGTTCATTCATTCTTTCTTTGTCTCTTGTTATTTTAGCCCTTACAGTGTCTTTTGGTCATGTTTTTAAGCTTATTTCTGCAACTGAGACTGCCGGGAGCTTTATTTAATAATAGTCAAGGTCTCATGTTCAATTTTTTCTTTGTGGGCTGCCATTTTATCTCAAGCATCGAATATTGTGAGAGTAAATTAAAAGCTGCATGGGTGTCCTCTAATTTTGTGTTGAACATTCTGCTGTAAGACTGAATATTGTTTTAGGAAGTTGAAGGTCTTTGCTAAGATCATGGGCATCTCTGCCTTCCTTTTAAGTGCAAATGCTGCACCTTGATCTGGCTGAGGAGCCCTGGTGGGTGGGTGACTGCTGGAGACACCGGAAGTTTTTAGGTGGCTCCTAGCCGGCTTCCTCATTCGCAACCTTAATGAGTCGTGCAGTTTGTTAGGCATTGGAACTTTGTGCGCTGCCAGAACGCAATGGGGCAAAACACTGCGAGGAAGGAGACCTTGCATCTGGAGTTGTATAGATTGAGGATACTGGGAAGTTTGTCCCCACCTAACGGAACCTGCCATGACTATGCCTGTGCTGAAAGGCTCTTCCTTGCTACTGAAGAAAACGCCATTTTCCCAAGGAAGGAAGAGGCCTGGAGGCCATGGAAAACCTGTATAACAAGCCCTCTTGTTGAACAAACTTGAGTTTAAATGGTAAAACTGTTTTTCTTACTTGAGGAAGCATTTGAAGATAATGATTCATGGCATCAGAAATACTGCTTCGTTGGGTTTTAGGCTTTTTGAAAGGCAAGAAGGAGGAGGAGGAGGAAGAGTTCTGATCCAGTGCAAGAGGGTCAGTGAAATCCCATGCAGTTGAATCCTTTTAATTTGTAAAACAGAGCAGCTTTTAGCTTTAGGTTGAATGTCTGTGCCCCTCTTTGATCTTTGCGTTGTGCCATGTTCCTTGTGGTTTCTTTGAGGCCAGTCTTCCTCTTGCTGAGAATCTTGCTTCCCCGCTCAGGTTCTCACTTGCCTGCTTCTCATCAGCTTCAAACTCTGGAGCTGTTTCATACTGGTTTGTTTCCCAGCTATTTTCGTCCATATATGCAGCTCATTTAGTTGAAGCTGGGTCTGGCTGTAGCAGTGGGCAGATGGACTCTCCATAATAAACTGGGCAAGGTTGTGCTGCATCCACTTTAATTGACAATGCAATCAGCAAATGAATCTGTTGGCCACTTTTTTCTTTCTTTAGGTGGGTTAAATGCCAACCTCGTGCTGGGTCTCACGTACAACGTATTTGTTCCTGTTTTCCTCTCCTGCTGCTGTTTTACTGCACAGTGCTGCAAGCTAATAGCATCTGACGGGGCTACTTCCTATTGCCTGAAAAATGTTTAATTTTACTACCTTGCTTTCTCACTTTCCCACTTTCTCTCATTTTGATCTCTCAAATCCAGTTCCTTTGAGAAATCAGACAGTATGAAATATGAAAATTGCTTGGTTAGTAATTGGGGGAAACAGTGAGGCTTATGAAACCCATGGAGATAATGCTTACATCTACTTACTCATATTATTTAATTTTTAATGGCAAATTTAATTAATGGAGCACAGGTCTTGTGGTTTCATGTGTGAATAAGTAACAGCAGGGAGCTGAAAGTCGTGAGGTCTGTTTACAGGACAGGGAAAAGGCTCCATTAAAAGCTGAACTTTTTCATTATAGGAAGGAATAAAATGGGTTTAATAGCATAGAAGTTTGACCGGTGTGTAGCAAGTAAGTAAATGAAAACATTAATGGCAATTTTGATAGCAAAATGCATTTTGAAGTGGTTACTCATCCATGATTTTTCACTTTAAGTCTGTCTCCTAGGTCAAAGTTTGGAGAAGGAAAGTCTACTCTGTGGCGTTTTTTTCATTATGTGACATAAATTCAGAGATAAAACCAGAGATAAATGCTTAAATATAGCACCTTGAAGTCTAGGCTTTGAAAACCTTTACAAACCTTCCAATTAGTCAAGCTTCACACAACTTCAGTGATGCAGGTAGCTGTTATCCCTGGCTTGCAGATGGAAAATGGTGACTTGCCCATGACTGCTCCAATGGCAGAGCTGCTAATAGAACTTGAGTCATATCTGCCCCTTCTCTAACCACTGAAAATACGTGCAGTCTGACCGTGTGCAGGACCACAGCTGCTTTTCTGGGAAAATAAGGAAGCAGGAGTAGTGTTCTATTTAGGATGACCAGATTTGAAGAGAGAAGATAGCTACACCTGGCCCAACTGAACAGCTGTCTTTGCTTTTGCTTTTGTCACTTCTTTGAGTATCACATACTTTCTGCATATGCCTTTTCAGACTAAAGGCCTCGCAGATGAGCTTTGAGAGAGGGAATTGCAGCTATTTCAGCATGAAGTCCAGAGGCTTTGCCTGCAGCAGCCCCATCAGCAGTTCAGTGACATGAGCCCACGCAGCAAAGCTGCTGGGATGCACAGCGGTTCCCTCCTGCTGCTTTGCTTGGGAGGCCTCAGTGCAGCACATCCTCAGTGCTCGGTGGCTGAGCAGCTCTGAACTAAGACTTTCTGTGCAAGCTCAGGAGAATTCAGTGCAAACCTCTTAAGCCCTGCAGCAAGACACTACAGACTCTGTTTGGCAAAGCCTTAGCTGATACCTGATATGCCTCCCTATGTTGTTAAAAGGGAAACAGGCTGCATAATTTTCTTTTAAAGAATAAGTAACATAAGCAGAAGCACTGAAATGTAAAATGGATTTTCCTGTGCTAGCAGCCAATTTTGATACTCTGCACGTCAGTAACTTACAAGATTCTTCACAGCAATTAATGTAAAAGAACAAAGCACAGCCTAACTCAAAATAACTCAGGGTAGGAAACATCGTGTTTTTGTGGGTATGTGGAATAATCAAAGCCCTCTCTTTTCCTTCACAAAGGTGAAGTGTGTAAGAAAGACACGAATTGCAGAATGGTTTGAGTTGGAGGGCTCCTTAACGATCATCCAGTTCCAATCCCCTACCATGGGCAGGGTTGCCACCCTTTAGATCAAGCTGCCCAGGGCCCCATCTGACCTGCTTGGGATGCCTTTGGAGATGGGACACCCATAACCTCTCTGGACACATTGCAGCCTTGATGAGTTTTCTTGCAAATAAACTTTTAAGCATTCTTCTTTTGTGCTCTTTGAACTGAGCATGCTTTTTGTTGTTGGAAATGGTTATTAATTATAGAATTAGATGCATTATATATATCCCTGATGGGATAGGTTCTGAGATGCCTTTCATTTTTAGAGCTGAGCATTATGTTCTTTGTTGCAGAATGCAGAAATCTACAAGCTGACGTCGGAGCAGTACCAGGAGGCAGCCACCAAGGCAGAGGAATGGATAAAGTGAGAAACCATTTTTGTTCTTTTCTGTAGCTCCAGTTTTGTTCTGTGATGCTGTGTGTATAGCCACTGGACAATCTGGTAAACAGGGTGTGAAGTTACCTCTTGTCACATGTTTGGGAGGCTGAAGGGCTGCATACCAGCTTCCTTTCCTTCTCTGCTGAGCTTGACAGAAATTAGTATAAAGTTTTCAGGTCTTGCAAGGGAAGAAAAAGAAAGAAGATGTGGTCTAGAAAATCCAAATAAATCGAGAATATTGACCAGGGTTTTTAAAATAATAGCAATGGAACATGTTTGATCTGCTCCAACTTTGACCCAGTGTACTGAGCCTATACGTTCCACCATTGGGCTGATGTGTGCGAGAATGAAAAATATCCCTTGAGAAGTTTTTCCTTGTCCAAAGAAGAAAAAGATAAGTAGTTGAAACTGTAGCCACGTAAATTGCCATCAAATAGAGTTGTAGTTAGCATAAATTCTTTCTTAAAATGGGTGCAGTGTATTTCTAACCTCCTTAACTGGCCGTGGTAGAATTACTTTTGTAATTGTTTTTAACCTTTTGTATTGTTTTTTTGCCGTGAGCCTATTTAGTATCTAAATTCCATTTGTATCTGCCAGTAGTGTTATATGGTTTATTGTTCCACATTCACTAACAGCTGTCAAAAAATATTTTCTATAATTCCTTATTATTAATGAATCCAAAGCAATTATACTGTCACGAGCAACACTCAGATCTCAGTTGGGTAAACAGTTGGCCAACATGCAGCAAAATGGAGTAGCAGCATATGTAGTCCAGTTGGGTCCAGTCCAGATTGCATGATACTTAATTGCATAAATAGATTATATATCAGTGATGAATATGTTAGTGGAGTGTACAGTATATTGTGCTGTCTTCATTTAAAATTAAATTTGGCTGCCAAAGCATTGCATAACCTGTTGTAATTTCACATTTTTGTTTGGACAGTGAAGCACAAAGTTGCTAAAGAAGCCAAAACAAGGCAGCTAACACATCGCATTCATTTTCATACAGATTTCCATAGTAGAATTCTTAAGCACTGTTCTAAAATAAAATATATTAAAAAAAAAAAAATAATCCATAAAGTTCTGAGAATCTTTAATCAGTTGAGTTTTCTCTTAAATTTGCTTCTTCAGGTGTGTGATCAGATGTTGGGAATAGATGTAACAATGTTCTGATCTTATAACTTTGTAAAGGAAGAGATGTGACCTTGGGTTATGTTCTTTACTTCCTATTACAGACTTTAACCTATTTTTATAGTATTCTTAAGCTGGAGTCCTGAGGTTTAATTTGGTCTCTTTTGATTCTTGTGGAGATGAAAACTGGTGACATAGGAGATGCTCTCGTAATGGAAGCATTTCTCATAAGGGTTGCTGGCTGTAGCCAATGTAAGTACGAGTTGATTTTTTTTTTTCATTCAGAATTCAAACATTTTTTTGGTTATGGTCTCGTGGTAGGGAAGGGGTGAAGGGTTCCTCCCACTTTGAGTCCTTAACATCTGCTAATCCCTGGCTTCTGGCCTTACCATACAATGCTTTTCTGTTTGAATGGCGTATGAACTTCCCCTATCATAAGGGACAGATTCCTGGCAGCCAAGAGGGACGCCTGCCCTGCTAGAATTTCATTGTGAGAAGACAACATGACTGAGGAGTGCCTTGACTTGAGGAGAGAGAAGCTGTGTGGCACTAGTGAAACTGGGGGAGCAAGTGAACATCATACTTCTATCCCTTTACAGTTCAAGTTGTAAGCCACAACCAGTATTGCTCTGAGCTACGTGTTGGAGCCTTGGACAGTGCGTAGCTAGAACAGTCTAGGACTGATCATTTGATAACTGAATGTGAAGGAAGAATCACTGTTTTAGCCTCTCAGTTTGCACTGTGAGTCTGATTCTTACAGCAGTGTGCAGCCATCTTTTTTTGGCATTGTTCCCTTAGTGTACAACATGCAGAAAACACAGTGAGCGCACATGCATCAGGTGAGGTCACCGTATAGCTGGGATGGAGTTGGGGGGCCTTCTTTCATATGTTGGCATTTGTGCTTGTTTGGTTGGACTTGAAATTTACTTGTTAAGAGATCCTCTTCTTAGGCCTTGCGCATTCAGATCTTTCTGCAGCTTGTTTATAGTCCTAAATTACAAGGTCCTGTGAATTCAGTGGAAATAATTTGTTCATCTTGTTCTGCAATTTCACATTAGGTATACAGGCACAGTGAGTGCTAAGCTAGGTAAGGCTAATTTATGTAGATCTAGTAACTTGGATGACACAAGTAAATTCCAGGAAAATTACATGAACTGAAATGTAGCCAAATTATTGAATGAAGCACAGGTCTGTGTGTTTGCAGTGTAGGGTTTCAACAGCTCCTATATTAAAAGCAGATCAGGAATGGCATTTTTTCCATTTAATGAGGAAAATGCATTTCCTCCGTCCCATAGTGTCTCATCCCTGCTTTATCCCATCCTTGTCTTGCTGTGAACCTGTCCTCTGACGCCTGCCCATTGTGAGAACAGTCTGCACAGCATTTGTTGCTGTCTGCTGCTGTGTATAGGTTGAGCTGATGGATGAAGGGAGGGCTAGAATTGGGTCTGTTTCCATAGTGAGTGCACTGTTTTTTCAGAGTCTGCATTGAAGCAAAGATAAGAAATACCTGAAACAAACAAACAAAAAAAGCATTTTCTTGGCACTTACTGACTTTTGTAAAATCTTTTATCAACATCTATGGCTTTGCACAGATAGTCCGTGGAACACTTGACCATCTTCTCTCCTTAATAATTATCAAGCATTTCAGTATTCAGGAATACTGCGCAAGCTATCTACCAGTGATGCTTTGCAGCATGCCTGCAAGACAAGCAGGTAAGCCATCTCCATTTGTACAGGAACAGAAGCTAAGTGCTTGAGTGCAGAGCTTCATATTAAGTCACTGGCACAGTCATTAGCTCCTGGTTCCTACTTCAGGGCAGGATACCTGCGTGGCCTGGCTACTGCGACACGCTTTGTTTCTCATCTCCTCACCTGAGCCCAACCTGCTCCTGCATTCCTCCCGCCTTGGTGTCTCTTTCTTTGTTCTGGGCTCTGTCCGAGCTCTTTCTCCCAGAAAGAAGATCCTAGCAACAAGAAACCAGTAAGCACAGCTTTCAGCACCTTGAGCAACTTGCCCTTGTTGCTTACATGCTGTGGTGAATTGGACTCTTGCCACGGACATATTGTCTTTATGATGTTATTATAATTGATGCATTATTATTTTTCTCTTTTGTTAACCAGTAGAATTACTCTGGGGACCTGGAACTTTTTTCCTTCCCTGTTTAGCAAACTGCACATCAGTAACCACCCACAAAAGAAGCAGCGTGTAAATAAAAAGCCAGCGCTCCTCGCCCTTCGCTTCGTTCCACATCCTTTTCTCAGTGCTCATAGAGCCATGACTCAGACTGGGTTTAGAGAAGACAACTTGCTAATCCCCTCCCTGCTACAGAGAATAAAATGGCATTTCATTCCAAGCTCTATTAATGCGCTCGCTCCAGGGATAAAGCAGCACTCCCAAAAGGCAGTGGCCAAATTTTTTTTTCAGTTGCGTTGTCTTTGTCTTCTTTTGAGTGTTACATTTAGATTAGCTTCTGAGGATTAAATGTTATTACAGTCTGTGAATCTGTTAAGGGGAAGGGAAAAAAGCGTCAGTAAAGAGGTTATAGCTTAGTGCAGGCACTTTGGATTTATCCTCAGAATGCTGGGGTAGTTGGTTTTTTTTTTTTTATAATAAATTTGATTTCTTTTGTGAAGGTTGCCTTATTTTTATTTTTGTGGTTGTTAAATTTGGTTGTGGGAGTTACCATGGGTGGGGGATGGGTTTGCTCTGAAAGGTAAAGCTACGGGAAGGGGGTGAGGGGATTAGGAAGCTGTTAAGAGATAAAACTGTTCAGAAGTGAGTTTCCTTCAGAGATCTCCCTGTAGCTTGCTGAACCCTCCCTGAAGCCGCTTACAGACAGCTGTGCTGCGAGTTGTGCCCACAGAACTGCGTGTGCTCTGTGCTGTTATCCAGGAGTGTGTAAAGAACATCGCTATCTTACCCTGATAGAGATCAGCCCAGAATCCAGGGCAGCTTTCCAGGGGGGAAACTGCCAAAGAGATTTACGCCGCGTGGGACTTGGTATTTAAGAGGTCTGTTTAATGGTCCCGAGATCTTTCAACTTAATGGACATCAGTATTTAAGATGATTGCGTTAGAGAAACTGACAAGTACTAAGTGTCCTCCTGGGTTGAATGTGGTGTTGAGAACTAAACTGCCTCCGTGGGGTGGGGGGAGAAAGTTCACAGATGGACTGTCTGCTGCAGTGGGGGATTTGTGGCTCACTTTCCGGACTCGCAGAAATGAACATTTTTATTGAATTGTGCAAAATGTCATGAGATTGATGATCCCTCAATTAAAATGACAGCCATAACTGGTACCTAGGAAAACTGCCTGTTCTTTTTTTTTTATTATTATTATTTTTTCCTTCCTTTGTGAAGATCTGGAAAGTTTCTAAGATACTGATGTGATGAAGCAGGGCTTTGTGGCAGATATCAACATTAATAAACTCCTATCTATTTCAACAGAGGGCTGTGCCCACGAGTTGAGCTCTGAAATAGTTATTCTGTGGACAGTCATGAAGCCTAAGGAGAAGGGTAAAGACATCAGTTTTCAAACAAAATTGCTTTGAGATTTCTCCTATCATTAGATTAGATAGATGATTAATTCAGCCTTGAAATTAAGAGCCCTTGCAATAGGGATTTAAGAGTTTTCAGGGATAAAAAGCTGTGATTAGTGCTTAGAGCTTGTCCTCAGCCTTAGCTCAGCGCAGTGCTTCTGCATGCTGACTGCAGTGATTGCATCTTCACCAAAAATGTTTGCCCCACCCTGGTCCTGTTCTTCCCTCAGCGCTCGGTTTGTGTTGGTGGTTGTTCTGTCTGTGGCTAGTCTGCTCCAGGTAAGCATTAATGAAGGAGATGGGTTTGTTAGCCAAG